TCCACCAGCCCTGATCAGGCCCCATGGGGCCGGCCAGACCCCACCGGTGCACGATTTCATGTACCCGGCCTCTAGTAATAGATATAAATGGCCCAGTTGGTCTCAGTGAAATGTTTGCTTTAGCTTTAGCTAGTATTAGTTCACTTTGTTTTTCCCCAAATTTGGCAAACTTAAATTCAGATTGTGCATGTCTTGGTGGACTCCTAAGAGCAGCTAAGAAAGTGGGGAGTGTTGCCCTAACCAGTTTGGCTCAGTGGATAGAGCGTCGGCCTGCGGACTGAAGAGTCCCAGGTTCGATTCTGGTCAAGGGCATGTACCTTGGTTTCGGGCACATCCCCAGTAGGGGGTGTGCAGGAGGCAGCTGATCTATGTTTCTCTCTCATCGATGTTTCTAACTATCCCTCTCCCTTCCTTTCTGTAAAAAAAATCAAAATATATTTTAAAAAAAGAAAAGAAAAGAAAGTGGGGAGCGTTAAGCCCAGGGAACACTGAGCAGTTGGGTCTTTCTGCCTTTCAGACTGAGACTTATCCTCTCTCCTTACCCGCCCCAAATCTGCTGTGGAAGCTAGAAGGAGATTCAGAATTCCAAACCAAAGTGATATAAAGCAGGGCTCCTCAGACTTCAATTAAAGGGTGTGCAAAACCCACACGGACGCTCCTGACCTGCTCATCCTGACTGTAGGTCTGGGATTCTGCAGGTCTCATGCTGCCCGTACTGCACTCAGAGCCGATTAGTGTGGCCAAGGAAAGTTTGGACTTTGGAATCACACAAATTGGGCAGTTCAAAACATTTCACAGAAAAACTCTGTCCGTGGGCAGTTATATAATCCTTATGAGCCATAATTTCTTCACCTGTAAAATGGAGAAAATACCTAGCTCATGAGATTGTCTTATAAAAATAGAAGATATGTGGAAACTACTAAATTCGGTGCCTGTCACATCTTAGCACTTGATGAATGTAAGGTCCTTACACAGTGCTTTTACACACTGGGTGTGAAGGGTGTTGACTGAGGCCTCCTGTGTAGTGGAGGCACTTATGCAAAGGGGATCTGTGGGTGTGTGCACACACATGCATGTCTGTGTATACACAAAGTGAGGGATCAGAGACCCAGAATGCAGGCATTTGAGCAGCACTCCTGTGAAGCCACCGTTCACACAGGTGTACTTTGTATCAAACACATTTTCAGGTGCTTTGTTTTTCTTTGATTTAAAAAAAATTTTTTTTCTAATTCTTACCAGGCTTAGACAAAAAAAGGCATGTAGAGCTGAAGATGGACCAGGCTTTGCTGCTCATCCATAATGAACTACTTGGGACAAACTTGACTGTCTACTGGAATTCTGAACGCTGTTACCATGTAGGTAGAGTGTCCGTGCTCACAATTTTGTTTACTTGGGGGATAATTTGATATATCCTTGATGCTCATACCTGTAGCCCTTCACATGTTAACTTCAGTTTTATAGGTAAAGAAACAAACAGTCTATATAATCAGAGGAAATATAATCAGGGAGAATGCCTACCAATGAGCAACATTTGTTTATCTTTTCCACTATCTATATTTTTAAAAAACCCATTTCTCAGTGATGAGCAGAATTGGTGGAGCATGTTTTATTTTAGTCCTTTGCCTAATGCATAACCAGAGAAGGAAGTGAGGGACCTGGGTATTCTTCCAGGGCCAGGGTGGTGAGGACAGTGGAGAGGCTCATGATGTTAAAGAATTTATTTTAGCTGGGTATATATAACCACTGTAATTAAAGTAATTATGGTCCAGTGAAGCATTACAGGCTGATACATTTGAAATTCAAAACTTGATTTCCTTCGAAAAAAATAATATCAAGACTAATTCAAGATATTGGAGGAAATGAATAGATCAGCAGCTGATTAAGAAATCTGGAAAATTATAACAAATTTCTCTACCTAAAAATAGGTAACATTTTCAAATAATAAGTAATTCTCAATCTATATAAATTAACCTACATATACCACCCCCCAAAAAATGATGGCTTGGTATCTGATTTATTCTGCCGTATAGTTTGGATGTTCATCTTAAAACTCGGCAAAGAGATGACAAGAAATGCAGGCCAAACTTTCTAATTAATATGGGTTTAAAAGTCTTAAATGAAATTCTATCATGCAGAATAAGTTAGCATATTTAACATTTAAAAAAATATATATATATCTTTATTGCTTTCAGAGAGGAAGGGAGAAGGGAGAGAGAGATAGAAACATCAGTGATGAGAGAGAATCATTGATTGGCTGCCTCACCTCCTACTGGGGACCGAGCCCATAACCCGGGCATGTGACTTTGGCTGGAATTGAACCTGGGATCCTTCAGTCCACAGGCTGACGCTCTATCCGCTGAGCTAAACTGGCTAGGGCATAAGTTAGCATATTTAAAGATTCATTTATGTTGACATTTTTATCCTTGAGGAATCTTTAGAGCTCATATGAAAAGAAAATGATGAAATTTTAATGAAAGAAAATAGAGGTTAAATGGAACAACAGCCAATGCACTCTGATATGAAGACTAAACATAGGGAAAGTGGCAGCACTTTCCAAATTCATACATTTAACACAATTGTTATTAATATATAAATGGATACTTTATAGAATCTGCATAAATAATTCCAAAATTTATATGAAAAAGTAAGTGAGCAAGAGAATCAAAAACAGCCCGAAAGGAGAATGGGCACCAGGTCAAATCTATTGTGACCTACACTGGCTAGGTAGCCAAAAAAGAAGGGAAGCCCAGCTGGTGTTGCTCAGTGGTTGGGCATCGACCTATGAACCAGGAGGTCACAGTTCGATTCCCAGTCAGGGCACATGCCCAGGTTGTGGTTTCGATCCCCAGTGGGGGACATGCAGAAGGCAGCTGATCAATAATTCTCTCTCATCATTGATGTCTCTATCTCTTTGAAATCAATAAAAACTATATATATATGAGAAGTGAAGACCAGGACCAAAGTAAATGTAAGAAGCAAAAGCTAATTTAACATATTACAACTAAAACCCTGGGGAAAGGCATTTAGAATTATTGTATACCATCTATCAAATGCCGCAAGTGGATTCAAGTTTTAAAAAACCTCCACAACTTAAAAAATACTAAAAAATGCAGAGTACATTTTTAAACTAATGATGCAATAGGAGAAATGACAAGACAGATTAACACGACTGAATAAACTTTAAACACTTGTAATTAAAAACGAGGATATAACACGATGAAAAGGAAAGCCTTAGAGGGGGGAAATAGTTGATAGTTAAAAGTTTAATATTACAGTATATGAGGATGACATTTCTACTATTACCTTCAAGGGAATTTGGTGTTTAAAAGATGGCTTACACCATAGGAAACAAAATTGCAAAAGAATATTGAATTATTTAATCTACTGATAATTTAAAAATGCAGTCTTAATGTTGTGATATCATAAATACCTAGTACATGAACAAAAAGAAGAATGATTTTTAAATCCTGGGAAGGCTAGTGAGAAATAAATATATTGTAATTTTTCTTGAGTGCTATTTGGCACATATAACAAGAACCATTAAAATGATTATTTTTTATCCAGTAATTTTATTTTTTGAGGTTTATTTTAGGGAAAGAATTTAAATGAATAAGAGCACCATGTACAGATCTTTTAAAACAGAATAACTTATATAAATTATAAATATATATAATATACTTAAATTATATATTTATTTTTACAACAATATAATTCATATAAATTACATATAAAAAGATAAAACAAGCTTTGAAAGCAGCCTAAAAACACAAAATTGTAATGTTTGATGACATATAATACAATCATTAAAAGTTATAAATATGCAAATTGTGTAGAATCATGGAAATTTATTTGTTAAATAATAATCAAAACAGTAGAATGCAAGATGTAACGTATGCTTTGTATTTGTTAATTATGTGAAAAATCTACCTGTGAATAAAGGTTGTATAATTCCATAACAATACATGCTTACATAGGCAAATTTTATCTAAATTATTGAAATTTAAAATTTTTTTCGTAAGTATGAAAGAAAGTCATCCCAGGATCTTCAGTTGGATGTTCATGTCCTCCAACAGCCAGCAGACGTCCCAGCACCTCCGACCGTGCTCATGCTTTTATTTTGCAGTGCTTGCCCCAGGCTCTGGGGAATGTTTCTGGGAGTGGAGAACCTGGGAAGCCCAGCACGGCACCTGTGGCTGTGAGCACCCAGCACACCTCCATCCTGCAACTCAATGACACATTGGAAGAGAAGGAAGTTTGTAGGTTTGTACCTGCTTTGCTGTGACCTACTGCAGTCTGTTTTCTCCCTGCTTTTCTTCTTATTTGGTTTTTAGCTTTTTCTTCCTTCAAAATATTTTCCTTTATCTTTCCTGGTCTGCACCCAGGGATGCCTGTCACTCTGCTTTCATTACTTCACCAAAATCCAGCTCTTGTTTCCCTGATCTAATCATTTTCCTTAATTTTACCTAATCTTTATAGGCTGAAGTACAAATTTGGTGAATTTGGAAACTATTCTCTCTTGGTCAAGCATGTCCATAATGGAGTCAACGAAACTGCTTGTGACCTAGTCGTTAATAAGAATCCAGTCGACAGTAACCTTCGTATGTATACACTCTTTGTTGATTTTTTAAACTTTGCATTTTCAAGCGTTTTAGTTTTTGAGTACTGTTTGCAATACTTTGCAATTTAAAACCTGGATTATAGGTTATCTGTCTCATAGTTATGGTATATTTAAAATGTACTTATTACTGTGTCATTGGTATTTAAAATACCAAGAAGATTATGTGATATATAAAAAAAATTACATAGTATATCAACATAGTCTCATAGTTGTTTAGTTATGAAACATAAATAAGACAAAAAAGTTAATGCGCCGGAAAGAACCTAGAAATAGAGCAATCGACTGTCAAGTATCTTTCCTTGTTTGTGTGTGTCTTACGTTGGGAGTCCAGAGGTCCCCTTGGGTTAGGAAGGGGCCATTCAGTCTGTAATAACTCCACTGAAGAATATGTTACTCTGAGCCTTCCACTAGAACTAGATAATATAGTAAGTCCTAGGGCATTAGTACGTGCTGTGCACAGGGAAGCCATTGAAGTCTGTGTGTCATGTCAAAGGATGTAAGAGCCGGTATGAAAGGGCCAATCAATGTAGGACAATTTAAGTACTAAAAAGAATAATGAATGTAATCAATGGAAACACATTGAATATATAAAACCCAGTGAGTTCACTGTGAAACTCAAAAGAGCAAAGCCCCTCTCCGTGAATGTAATCAATGGAAACACATTGAATATACAAAACCCAGTTCACTGTGAAACTCAAAAGAGCAAAGCCCCTCTCCCCAAACAAAAACAAAACCAGGTTACAGGGCACCTGAAGGTAACTAATGTGACTTAAAATTGTCAGTTGAAAGGAAGGATTGAAGCCTGTATCCTGTTTTTCCTGTTGCAGCTGTATTTTAGGGTAATTAAATAGTCCTAGATCATGAGGGTAAATTCTTTAGAAAAGAGTTCCAGTTACTATAGGGCAGGATAGCAGAATATTTCACAATCCCTAATGAAATAATTGCTTTAGGCAAAAAATCAGGAGTGGGTGATACCATCCAATGAAACGGGAACTTAACCAGGGAGGGGTCAGGCTTCCACAGGCTGAACACAGCGTCGGCACAGGGTCAGTCTCAGGGGCTGGAGTACAGTGGGAAAAATACCACCTGTGAAGCATCCTTCCCCAAGACGGTGACCTTTTTAGTCAAGCCTTTACAGCTGCTTTCCCATGGTCAGAACATTTGGAGGGTAGAAGAACACGTTCGGTGGCACCATGAGGAAGTGTACTGACTGACCTGGGACATGAGACATACTCACAGATGACAGCTGACCTGGTGTTTGAACCAAGTCAATGGCTGCTTACGGTGAAATGAGACTTAAGAGACAACACAAGCCAACGCAAGATGTGAACCTTGTTTGGACCCAGATTTGAACCCACTAAGTACAAAAAACAGCGCTAGGGAATTATTGCTAATTTTGTATGACACTGTGATTATATCACAAAAGGTCCATTTTTAAGCAACTTTTAATTCTGAAATAGGTTTAGACTTCTAGAAACAGTGCAAAAAAGAGTTCCCATATACCCTTTACCCAGTTTTACCTAAACCCCTGACGTATATCATCATAGTACAAAGATCCCATGTACGATATTGAAACCAGGAACTTAACGTTGGTGCCTTCTCATCTACATACTTTTCCTTTTTCTCCTGTTGTTCCTTCTAATTTTTTTTTTCCTTCTGGTCCAGGATCCAATCCAGGATCCCACCGTGCATTTGAATGTGAGGCTCCTCCTGTGTAATCTAGGGCAGTTCTTTGTCTTTCATGACCTTGACACTTTTGAAGAGGACTGGCCAGTTTGTTAATTGGGTTTATTTGCTGTTCTCTCAGGATGAGGTCGTGCATTTTTGGTAGATTATTACGGAAGTGATGTGCCCTTCTCAGTGGATCATGTCAGGAGCTGCATGATGCTGATACATCTTTTATGAGACCGTAGCTTTAGAGATAGAACTGAGATGTAGGGGCATGATGGGTGTCTGGGATTTGCTTTAAAACACTTTAGGCCAAAAAAAGCAGAGGGGAGAGTGGTAATAGATAAAGCAAGAGTGACAATATTTTGATAATTCTAGAATTTAGGTGATGGGTGTGCGTGGGTTTATTGTACAATTCTCCGTATTTTTGTGTAGTTTGGTATCTTTCATAATGAAAATTAGCACTCCCCTTATGAAGTGTTCTCAGTTGTTTATAGGAAATTTAGCATAACAATATCGGCTTTTCCTTCATTTGTTGTGATTTTTATTTTTTGCATTTTTTCCTTTACAGATTAAATGTAATAATGTGACCACTTTGATTCTTCTGATGACATTTTTGGTGATAACATGCTTTCTGTTATTTTTATAGCTGTGTGTATTGCGTTCCTTGTTGGTCTGGCGGTCATCATTGCTGTGTGCTTTCTAAGGTTCTTGTTGAGGTAAGCACCACTGGGGAAAGTAGTAGTATTCTTTGATGAAAGGAATGCTTACTGTGTCCACCATGCCCCTTCCAGCCCTAGGACTAGGGATTCTTCAGTGTAGAAGAGCTGATCCCTGACTTCAGTGAAATGATAGCCTAGTTCTATTGGGTCTTGGCCTTCAGTCCTCCCAAATGGCTGAAAAAATAGAAGCAAATGCTTGAGAAGTAATTTCCTGAAGGAGTCTCACATCCTGCTTTATGAATAGAAGTGGTGATGATTGTAGGAGGTGGTTTCCACAGAGGACTTTTCTTCCTTCCCTCTGGCTCTGAGCCCTGGGGCCACCCCTCTAATCCAGTTTCCCAACTCCCGTCAGCCTGGGCATCTGGCAGCAGAGATGGAGGACGAGGTGTGGTACCTCCGGACCCCAGCAGGGTTAGCGGTTTGAGAGGAAATTATTTGTCGAGTAACAGCGATTCTGGTGAGAGTGAATTAATAGACTGGAAAAGGAAAAGAAAGTAAAATAGATCCAGGCCTGGCAAATCATCTTTCAAAGGAAAGTTCCTGTATGTTTTAAAAGGAATAAGATCGATTTTTCATGCACTCAGCCTGTGAGGGCCTCAGGAAGGACCACAGGGTTTTATTGGTGAGCCGTATGCAAATTGGAAGGAAGAGAACCTGGCCTTTAAGGTTGCTCACTCCGGGAACCCTGCAACTTTAGGGCTTTTATGCACTTTGACCCACTGCCTTTGTGCATCCCAGAAATAACTCCTGTAAGGGAAACCTGACTGTATGTAGGGGTAACAGGATGACTTGCAGCTCAGAAACAAGTGTGGAATCTACCTGCTTTTTAGGAACAGAGTATGATCCTAGCAGAGGCGTTTCATTTTTTTAAATTAAGGTATCATCTTGTCAATCTTTATATATAATGCAAATACTGTTCTAGTTTATTAGGATTTTCTTCATGTGGTGCTTTTCATGTGAATGTGGGGAAACCTGACTGTATGTAGGGGTAACAGAATGACCTGCTGCTCAGAAACAAGTGTGGAATCTACCTGCTTTTTAGGGACAGAGTATGATCCTAGCAGAGGCGTTTCATTTCTTTGAATTAAGGTTATCATCTTGTCAATCTTTGGATATGATGCAAATACTGTTCCAGTTTGTTAGGATTTTCTTCATGTGGTGCTTTTCATGTGAATGTATCTATTGCATCACTTTCTAAAGTAATTGGTAGCTGATATCAAGCTCTGGCAAAGGGAGGAGGTACCACCTCACTCCACTGGGAATTGAAACTGCTTTGCATGAGAGTCTGCCTTTGCAGCCTGCAGGCAGAATGCTGTGATTGGCAAAGGGAGATCCCTGTCCTTGCCCCGTCACTCCCCAGCATGCCCATGAAAGGCTGGGGAAGTTCAGGTTCGTCTGAACCAGAAAAAGTAGTAAGAATACAGCTTCTCTCCTTTCACTTGGAGAACAAGCATGTATAACAATTTTTAAAAGTTCAGTTTTAAAATATTTTAACTTCTCCTTTTCACCCTTCCTTAGATGTCTCTATTTTAATATTTTTCATGTAACAGTGATGTTATCAGTTCTGAATAAACTAGAAATAGGAGTTGAGTTGTGGGGAAAACAAGAAAAGAGATTAAAAATATATTCAGCCCTAGCCAGTTTGCTCAGTTGTTAGAGCATTGGCCTGCAGACCAAAGGGCCCTGGGTTTGATTCCGGTCAAGGGCACATACCTTGGTGGCAGGCTTCTCCCAGGCCTGGGTCCTGGTCAGGGCTCATGCAGGAGGCAATCAATCGATGTGTTTCTCTCACATCAGTGTTTCTCTCTGTCTTTCCCTCTCTCTTCCACTCTCCCTAAAAATCAATGGAAAAATATCCTCTGATGAGGATTAACAACAACAGCATAAATATATTCACTGACTATATAGATCATGCTTGGATACTGATTTAAAAAATTATACTGTAAGGAAAAACTTATGAGATTGAGAAATTGAACTGGCCATTTGGTAATATTAAGGAATTATTGATAATATTTTAAAATGCAATAAAGGGCCAAAACCGGTTTGGCTCAGTGGATAGAGCGTCGGCCTGCGGACTGGGGGGTCCCGGGTTCGGTTCCGGTCGGGGGCATGTACCTGGGTTGCGGGCACATCCCCAGTGGGGGATGTGCAGGAGGCAGCTGATCGATGTTTCTCTCTCATCGATGTTTCTAACTCTCTATCTCTCTCCTTTCCTCTCTGTAAAAAATCAATAAAATATATTTAAAAAAAAATGCAATAAAGGTACTACAGTTATATTTAAAAATTGAAAAGTTTTATTGTTTGGAGATATATACTGAAGTATTTATGGATGAAATGATATGATGTTTGGGATTCTTTAAAATAAAAGGGGCATTGTGTGGGAGTGTGGAGGAAGTAAGACTGACATGTGTAGATACTTGTTGAAGCTGGGAGGTTGGTCTATGAGACTTATTATACTAGTTCCTCTACTTCTGCATATGCTTGAAACTTTCCACAATAAAAAAAAAAGAAAGAAAAAGGAAAAATCCTATGTATTGGATAATTCAAATGTACAAAGTTTATGTAAAAGTTTATGTAAAATGAGTTTTTCTCATTTAGTCAAGCATTCAGTTAATATATTTATCTTTTGTTAATCATGTAAATCAGTTTAATATCATCTGGATATCTTTTTGAACAAAAGTACCCTTCTAGAAAATAAGAACCCCATATATTAACTATTTGAATTATTCCAAAGTTACTTTCAAGCTTTCTCAGTATGTATATATGCATTTTAGTTCAGTTGTAGCTGAGCCTGTGTAATGGGTTTTTGCTTTTTGTTTTTAACAGTTTAGATTTGCATTTCTTTGTATAGACACAGGCCACATTCTTGTTATTTTTAATAGCTGTATCTCACCCTGTTACACAGCTGGCATATACTGTGTAACAGGGTCATTTCTCTATTGAGTGTGCTTGTTTGAAATTTCTTGCTATTCTTATTTTAATGATATGATGCATTATTAATAAGAATTCTTATTAGCATTATTAGTAGTATTAATAAGAATTCTAGCCACAGGGAATAATAACCTCAATAAACCCTCACAACAACTCTATTCCTATTTCTATTGATGAGAAAATTATGCTGTAAGAGTCAAGCATTTAAAATACAGTTGCTATAAACTTTGATTTGCACTTTTGTTTCTTTAAAAATTTTAAATGTTTAATTCTTTGACTTGTATGGGATTTGAACTTATAATAATTTTTGTTTTAATCAATTAATATGCTATCCAATCATTTTGAAATTATGCCAAAGAACACAAAAGAACTGTGCCTTCTATTTGTTTACAGTTTGGATGACTTTAATAACTGGATTTCTAAAGCAATAAATTCTCGGGAAACTGATCGCCTCATCAACTCCGTGAGTTATTAGACTGCGTCATGTGTGGTCTGGGTGGTTTTGTATGTTTGGAATTTACAGTTTCCTCCTTAATCATCTGTAGTATCTGGTTTAATTCATCTTATTTACGTTGTGGAAGGCCAGGTCATGTGTCCTGTATTCTTAATAAAGAGCAGCTTCTCTCAGCTCTGTGAAGGGCACTGTCCCCTCCGCTTCTTCCCTGAGGTTGGGCTCTGGGCTGCCTCGCGATGTTTCGCTCTGCAGGCAGTGCTGTTGAATCAGTCCAGTTACGTAGAGAGTCACTGAGCACCAGAGACACCAGTGTTGACTCTGTAAATGCCAAGGCCTCCTGAGATGAGCAAGCATATTGCTGTGCTAATAAATTCATTATGGACATATGGATGCCCCCGTGTGAACATTCTTGCTTGTATGTTTGCACAGATGCAACTTATGGACCAGTTCTTCATGGTCGTGTATCAGCATGGGCAGTGCAAGCTCAGCAAAAGGCACAAAACCAAATAAAGGAAAAACTAAACCTCCAGATGGGATCCTTACAAAAGCAAATTGAAGTATTGTTCAGAACAACGATCTTTAGCTGTCCACGTGGTTCACTTCTCCCTAAACAATGGGAAAATGAAATTTACTCCCTAGCATTATGAATCACTTGTCCGTCTCCCCTTTTTTCTGAAGGAGCTGGGCTCTCCAAGCAGGGCAGGCCTGTTCGGTGACGATGCCCAACCAGAAGTATGGCGTCTGTCTGCGGTGCCTCGGCGCCTCCGCTGCGTGGACACGTTCCGGGGGTACGTGGCTCCCTTGTAACACTGTGGGCACAGGTAGTCTCAGGTTACATGTTTACACATAAACACATTTTTATGTTAAAAGTATTTCATATTTCTTTTTGTTTTCTAGTTTTTTTTGTTTTTTTTTTATTGCTTAAAGTATTACAAAGTGTATTACATATGTTTCCTTTTTCCCCCTCCTTGATCTTCCCCCAGCCTCCCCTACCCCCCAGTGTCTTGTGTCCATTGGTTATGCTTATATGCATGCATACAAGTCCTTCGGTTGATCTCTTACCACCCCCCCAACCCTCCCCGGCCTTCCCACTATAGTTTGACAGTCTGTTCCATGCTGCTTTGCCTCTGTATCTATTTTTGTTCATCAGTTTACAATGGTCTTTATTATCCATAAATGAGTGAGATCATGTGGTATTTTTCTTTCATTGACTGGCTTATTTCACTTAGCATAATTTCATATTTCTTTTACTTTCTAGGCTAGAAAGGATTTCTTGCTAGAAAAGAAAAGCAGCAGCCATAGCCGGTTTGGCTCAGTGGATAGAGTGTCAACCTGTGGACTGAAGGGTCCCGGGTTCAATCCCAGTCAAGGGCACGTACCTTAGTTGCAGATTCCCCGGCCCTGGTCGGGGTGTGTGCAGGAGGCAACTAGTTGATGTGTCTCTCTCATATCGATGTTTCTCTGTCTCTCCCTCTCTCTTCCACTCTCTCCAAAAGTCAATGGAAAAATGTCCTCAGGTGAAGATTAACCAAAAAAACCCACAAAAAAAGCGAGAAAAGCAGCAGCCTCTCCTTACTGGGAAGCTTTGGTCGTCAGTGTCTGTGAGCTGGCGAGGAGTAGTGGGGCAGGACCAGAGCCAGTTGCCACTGGTGTGTAGATTCTGCTGAGTTAAGGTCATTTGCATTTGGGCAGGTAGCTGTACGTGGGGCCCCCACATCCACATGCACCCCCATGCCCGGTCAGTCACTTGACAGATGAGAAGACGCAGTAGTTTAGAAACAAAACACCAGCACCCCAAGGAGTTGTCCTCTAGCTGCCTTCACTGCTGTCCTTCACCGCCACTAGCAAAACAGCTAGAATATCAGGCCTTTTTATAACAAACCCACAGCATCATATGGTAAATTGTTACCTATAATAATAAAAGTGTAATATGCTAATTAGACTGGATGTCCTTCTGGACAACCTTCCGGATGAAGCCAAAGCCGGGGCTGCAACCATGGGATGGAGGAAGCTGCCGCAGCTGCGAAGGAGGGATCCAGGCTGCCACCTCGGCTGCGCCGTCCTACGCTTGCATGAATTTCATGTATCGGGCCTCTAGTTGTTTTATAGTTCTGGTAGAAGAGTCGGGTTTTCCTTTTCAGCTGATGTGGGAGCCTTCCTTGAGACCAGCCTTGAATTCTGGGCCACAGGCCTGTGTCACTCACAGGCCTCAGCTGTGACGAGGTCCTTCCGAAAGTCGTGATACTGGACAGTTCTTACTCTTCACATGTGTAGTGCTCATCTAAGACGTGTGCATATAAAAGACGAGTGTTAGTGTGGACACAATGTACTGTACGAGGTCCTGGAATCTTGTAGGAAATGATAAATGCCACTAATCCTGAAAATAAGTATAAAAATCATTCCTAAAAGTAACGCTGTATATTGGTATCAGGGAATTCTGGTAAGTCTGTAACAGGGCAATGATATTCTAAAGTAAAATTTGGAATAATAATGGAGAACTAAACACTGTCTTTACTCCTCTGTGGCTGCTAACCTTGTTGGGGGACCCTGACCTCCTATACAAGGAAGAACCTATGTCTTTGCTGTGACACCTTGAGCTCCATCATTAGGAAGTGGTCCTGGCTGTTGGTTTAAGTCTTTGGTCCCTTGTGTTTCATCACTAATATAAACTCAGGGCTTTTGGGGGCAAGAGGGCTGGGGGGTTTTTTTGTGGGGTTTTTTTTTTTTCCCCCCGTTCGTATATATGCAGGTTGAAATATGGAAACTACACAGTATAATTCGAAAGAAGTGTAATCTCTCCATCGCAGGTACCTACAAAAAGAACAGTTATTAGAAAAGTATACATAATGCTTGTATAACTTTGGGCATTATTGTTATCCTATTGGACTTTTAGACCTGGGCCACCCGAACCCAAAGAAAGTGTGAGAGATGGGAGCGCTTTCTTCAGATGATCCAAGTGCAGAGTGGGGACCTGGTCTGGGCCCCAGACCCTGTTTGTCAGACCCTGCCCTCCTGCCACTTTGCTTTCAGTAACTTTCATAATAAGGCTGTTGTGTGGTGGTTCAAAAATTCACCTTTGTCACCTGCCACCTGTGTACCATCTGGGTTGCTGGGAAGGCATGACACCTTTGTCATTGTCTTAGGGGTGTGAGTGAGATAGGAAAACTGAAGGAAGGATGTAGGTCTTTTGTTTGGGACCCAGTATCAGAATCGAGGAAGGTGCTGGTCATTGTCCTCCTGGGGCAGTAGCAGATGGGGAGGGCCTGTGTGTTCCTTCACAGTGTTTTCCTTTTAAATTTAGGAAGTATTCACACTCTAGATTCCCTTTCCTTACCTCTCCGTGTTGGTGTTTCCCTTCAGGACTGACAGTGGCTGACCTTGTGTTCCCATGGTGAGTTCGTCTGCCACCAGCTCTCCCGCAGGGCATCTCCGGGTTTTCCTTTTCAGCTGATGTGGGAGCCTTTCTTGAGACCAGCCTTGAGTTCTGGGCCACAGGCCTGTGTCACTCACAGGCCTCTGCTGTGACGAGGTCCTTCCAAAAGTCGTGGTGCTGGACAGTTCTTATACTTCGCATGCGTAGTTGCTCATCTAGACTTGTGCATATAAAAGACGAGTGTTAGTGTGGACACAATGTACTGTACGAGGTCCTGGAATCTTGTAGGAAATGATAAATGCCACTAATCCTGAAAATAAGTATAAAAATCATTCCTAAAAGTAACGCTGTATATTGGTATCAGGGAATTCTGGTAAGTCTGTAACAGGGCAATGATATTCTAAAGTAAAATTTGGAATAATAATGGAGAACTAAACACTGTCTTTACTCCTCTGTGGCTGCTAACCTTGTTGGGGGACCCTGACCTCCTATACAAGGAAGAACCTATGTCTTTGCTGTGACACCTTGAGCTCCATCATTAGGAAGTGGTCCTGGCTGTTGGTTTAAGTCTTTGGTCCCTTGTGTTTCATCACTAATATAAACTCAGGGCTTTTGGGGGCAAGAGGGCTGGGGGTTTTTTTGTGGGTTTTTTTTTTTTTGAGCCAGATTAGGAGGAACTTTTACAAGCCCACAGACCTGCTAATTATTTACGTATATTGTCTGTGAGGGTCCCTACAGAAAAGTGGCTTGCTGTGTGCAATCAGAGCAAACTCATCTCTGTAACCCTTCTTCAAATAGAGAAATTGCTATTCTGATTTTTTTTAAAAAGGTAATTTAGTATGGTAAAAGAAAGGAAAGAAGAGAGATGCGTGGCTCAGACAAAATCAGAAAAGAAAAAAAAAAATAAAGCTTTCATTTTTCTTCCAGGAGCAAAAGTGAGTTAGAAATGATTGAAGTGTGTGGTTTGTTTCTCAAGGACCGGAGGGCATGCTAGTGAATGCTGAGCTGATTGGATTACAGCATCTCCATCCTTATTTCTCTCTGATGATTACCTGGGACAGTTGTTCTTGGAAATTGCACTTAGTGCTGAAAAATCTCCCCTAGGACAGGACTCGAGGGCACACAAACCTGACAGCCTAGAGGCCTGCGTTCTATGTTTCCTCTGCTATTAACCCAATGTCATTTCAGTAATTAGCTACTTTTAAAAAATCATGTGTAGCTTCTCTTATGTAACAGGTTATAAAATATTATGATATGTTACAATTTTTTTTGTATATATAGACCAAAACATTAGAAATGGCCATCTAGTAATAGCTGGGTATTTTTTTTTAGGTTTGTATTTATTATGGGATCTTCAGTTTTTCTATCAATGACTTCCATACTGCAGCGGGGATGTTCAAAATTCAGACTGCTGGGGAAAGTTGCGTGGAGGAGTTTCCTGTTAATCTGCATAGGAATTGTCATTGTGAACCCCAATTATTGCCTTGGTCCATGTAAGTATATCCCCCCCCCCTCTGTTCGTATATATGCAGGTTGAAATATGGAAACTACACAGTATAAATCAAAAGAAGTGTAATCTGTCCATCGCAGGTACCTACAAAAAGAACAGTTATTAGAAAAGTATCATAATGCTTGTATAACTTTGGGCATTATTGTTATCCTATTGGACTTCTAGACCTGGGCCACCCGAACCCAAAGAAAGCCCGAGAGATGGGAGCGCTTTCTTCATATGATCCAAGTGCAGAGCGGGGCCAAGTGGGGACCTGGTCTGGGCCCCAGACCCTGTTTGTCACCTGTTAGTCAAATATATTCTTTTTTACTTCAATTAGTTATTTTTATTTAGTCTTTATATCAGCCATTTTAAAGTTAATTTTTAAAGAGAGAGAGCAAGGTAGAGAGAGAAATAATCGATTTGTTGTTCTGCTTATTTATGCATTCATTGGTTTAGACCTGGGCCACCCGAACCCAAAGAAAGTGTGAGAGATGGGAGCGCTTTCTTCAGATGATCCAAGTGCAGAGTGGGGACCTGGTCTGGGCCCCAGACCCTGTTTGTCAGACCCTGCCCTCCTGCCACTTTGCTTTCAGTAACTTTCATAATAAGGCTGTTGTGTGGTGGTTCAAAATTTCACCTTTGTCACCTGCCACCTGTGTGCCATCTGGGTTGCTGGGAAGGCATGACACCGTTGTCATTGTCTTAGGGGTGTGAGCGAGATAGGAAAGCTGAAGGAAGGATGTAGGTCCTTTGTTTGGGACCCAGTATCAGAATCGAGGAAGGTGCTGGTCATTGTCCTCCTGGGGCAGTAGCAGAAGTGGACACAAATAGCTAGACACTAGCCAGATGAACCCCCCAGGCAATGACCACTAAGACTAGGCATTAGGAGGAGGTAGAGGTCACTTCTAGTTGGGGTCACAAGGGAAGGTGTCACAGAAAAGTTGACTCGTGGATCTCCAGAGGCGGGCCACTGCTCGCAGGATACATTATAGGTTCATTATAGGGTTCCACTCTTCTAGTGATAGAGCCCAGTGGCCTGTAGGGTAGGGAGAGTCCGTCGGTGAATTGTGAGTTGAATCCATAGTCTCATGAGAAAGGCCCAGGAGATGCACTTCAAGGCTAAGGGTAGTTCCTGCTTCGTCCCCACCCCCGAGGCAGACACTTCTGTTCTCATCCCAGTCCCCCAGCGGGCCAGCTTCCTGCTGTGAGTGTGAGCATGTCTGCTGACCACATGTAGTATTTCCGTCTCCGAGAGCTTAAAGAGGACGCACTCAGGTGCAGTGTAGGTGTGTCTTCCCCCTTAGGAGAAAGTAACGCCTTGGGGTAAGATGAGAGATGCTGACTAACCTCTCCCAAACGTGGACCTCCTGCAGTGTCGTGGGATAAGGTGCGGATCCCCGGCGTGCTCCAGCGGCTGGGGGTGACCTACTTCGTGGTGGCCGTGCTAGAGCTCCTCTTTGCCAAGCCTGTGCCTGAAAGCTGTGTCTCGGTGAGAAACCCTGTTTTTTAAAAGAGGGGGGAAATGCCTCTGGTTTTTAGAACTTTCTTTAGTTCTGAGTGCAGTACTGTACTTCAGTAGATTCTTTGATCCTGTTAGTCAAATATATTCTTTTTTACTTCAATTAGTTATTTTTATTTAGTCTTTATATCAGCCATTTTAAAGTTAATTTTTAAAGAGAGAGAGCAAGGTAGAGAGAGAAATAATCGATTTGTTGTTCTGCTTATTTATGCATTCATTGGTTGCTTCTTGTATGTACTCTGAATGGAGATTGAATCCGCAATCTTGGCGTAATGGGACCTCGTTCTAACCAACTGAGCTACACAGCCAGAGCTATCAGTCAGGTTTTTTGGGGGTTTTTTTGTGTTAAAAAACACATGAGATCTACCTTCTTAACACATTTTTAAGTGTCCAGTGACCAAAGGTATTTGGATGGTGTTAAAATAATATCACCATCACCTAGATTGCTGGCTCAATCTCTTTTAATTTCCTTGTGGTATAAGATCTACACTAATAAAAGAGAAACATGGTAATTGGCGTACGACCGCTACCCTTCCCATTGGCTAATCAGGGAGATATGCAAATTAACTGACAGCCAAGATGGCGGCAGGCAGCCAGGCAGCTTGAAACTAACATGAGGCTTGCTTCCTTCAGTGACGGAGGAAACCAACGTTCCCCGCCTGCCTTGCAGGCCTCTGAGCCTGCAGTTTGAACATTGTAACAAACATAGAAGCTAAAAAAAACCCCAGAAACCAGCTTTCAGCGAGCTGGGATCTCAGAGCTGGAGTCAGAGCTGGAGTTATACATTGTTTCGAACCGAAACAAACCAGATACCTACTTTCAGCAGCGGAGGCCTAAGAGCTGGAGCCTCAGAGCTAAAGCTGGCCCAGAATAAAAAAAAGAAAAAAGAAA